CATCTCGGTCGCACCGACTCCTCGGCACCGTCCGCTTTTCTCGATGCCTGGGCCGTCCAAAAACTGTGTCCTTTTACTTATTAGGGCGAGCAGCTCTGCTTCATCGCTGCGTGGCTGTCGTCGTCGCCCTCGCGCTTTCGTTGCCGTCGCCGTCGTCTTCGCCCCCTCCGTCGTCGTCACGTCGTCGTCCTCCTTGCCCTCGTCACCACCGACGCCGTCGCTGTCGCCGTCGTCACCGCCGCCGCCGTCGTCACCGCCAATCATCATCGTTGTCGTTGTCGTTATCGATCTCGTCGTCGTCGTCGTCGTCGTCGTCGTCGTCGTCGTTGGGCCGGCCGCCCCGGGGCCGCCTCTTGGGTGGCCTCCAGCTTGGCCGCGCCCCAGCCGACGAGCTCCGGGCCCCGGCCCAGGCCGTGGACGGCGCCGCAGAGGCCCCGCACCTCTCAGGGGGGGAGCACAGCAGCAAGGCGCCGGGTGCGGCTCGAGCGGGGAGGAGGCCAGGGGGGCGGGAGAAAGGGGGGAGGAGGAGGAGGAGGAGGAGGAGGAGGAGGAGGAGGAGGAGGAGGAGGAGGAGGAGGAGGAGGAGGTGGAGGAGGAGGAGTGGGCAGTGAGGTCACAGGAGCACCCAAAACGAGGAGGATAAGTAAGCAACGGGGCGGGAGAAGGACGAGGAGGAAGAGACGAAAGCCTGAGCAGGAGGACGAGGAGGAGGAGGGGTCGGACAGGGAAGAAAACAAAAAATCATAATAGCAATACCATTAAGAATAATATATTTCTGAATATAACCAGAAGAGAGAGAAGGCGAGTTCGCGTCATATCTGGCATCCCTGCTCTGCCCGCGACTGGCCGCTTGACCTGCCCCGCGACCCGCCCGCGACCTATGCGCTACACGCTCCGCGACCCACCCACGACCCACGCACCCGCAACCCACCTGCCGTCCGCCCAGCGACTTGCCAACAAGCCGCCTAAAATCCACCCATAACCTGCCCCGAGACCTGCCCCGCAACCCGCCGGGGACCCGCCCCGCGACCCACCCGCGATCCGCCATGCGACCCGCTCACAAACCACGCGCGAACCGCACGGCGACCCGCCCGTCGAACCCCGCCCCGCGACTGCACTGCGACCCGTGCGCCTCGCGACCCACCGGAGCCCCACCCACCGTCCACCAGCAAACCGCATCTCCACCCGCCCGCCACTCGCCCACAACCTACTGGGAGCCGCTGGCGAAGTGGATCAACACGCGCACAAGTCGCGCCGCAGGGCGTCTCGGCGTACCAGTCGTTTTCGTGCAGGCCGTGGACGAGTTGGCGTGCCCCTCGTGTTCTTACAGGTTTTGAGCGAGCGCAACACGAACCAGGGCGATCCTGATGCGGGTCGGCGCCTCTTGAACGTCCCGAACATGCACAGAACTGGGGAAATCCACGGCGCATTACAGGCGCACGTCGGCATATCTGTGCGATTCACAGCAGTGCAGGACGAGCTGACGAAGTTGAGGCTCGCGCAGGAGCAACGGGCCTCCATCGTGTCCTTAGAATTCCACGCCGAAGGCGAGAAACAGCACGATGAGTGCTCGCCAGGCCAACTTTGTCGCCCCCAGTTCCGGATCTGGCTGCATGTGCACGGTTTCGAAAAATCGCCGATATATGAAGAGGTCGCCGAACTGCTGCGACAGGGTGCCGAAGGCGACGGCGAAGACGACCGGGCCGAAGCGCGGGCGCAGAGCTCGTTGATGTTCAGGCCCAGCGAGTAGGAACTCACGTGGCAGACTTCGGGGCCGCACTGCGTGCACCGTTCGGGACGCACGCGTCCTGCGTTGCCTCCGCGGTGTCGCAGGGCAGGCGCTGCGCAAGTGCGTCACCACCGAGTGCGCGAGGAACGACAACGCTGGCAGCACGGGCGCGTCGGACGACCAGGTGGACCACTGGTGGCCGCATCTCTACGTCACGTTCTCCCGCGCAACGCGCATGCGGAACATGCTGATCATGCGGCCGCCCCCGCGAGAATTCCTGGAGCGAGGGCCGCCAACGTCCTTGCGGAAACCGCTCCTGGAGCTCAACATGGCAGCGGAAAGCTCCAGGGCAGAGGCGGAGCAACTCGCAGCAAAGCTGGACTTCGTGCTGCTTCCCGCTGGAACGCGGCGGCGACCCGCTCGACACCCGAGGGGTTGTTCCAACGGTTTGGTCTCGCGCGCCAGCGGCTCGCGGGGTTGTCCCGACGGCCTGGCCCGCAGGGTTATCCCAACGGTTTCGCGACGTGGCAAATAAAGAATGCGCCCGTGCTGGCCGACGCGGCGACGGCGCTGAGGACAATCGACATGCGCGTTCATACAATTGAAAAGGGGAAGAGGTGGCGGGGGGTGGAACAAACAGGAAGGCGAGGAGGGTGCAACGCAGGGAGCGGGAGGAGGGCCTGCGCCAGGGCGAAAATGAGAATGACGCAGAGGGGACATCAAGGGCGCCTCATCAATCGCGAGGACGACAATGAGGGTAATCTCCGAAATTGCCGAGGGGATTCTCATGTGGGGTCCCACCATCGGAATCATGGAGGTTGTTTTCGGACTGCGGGGGCCTTCGCTGGGCCAGCAGGACCGTCAATGATCACTTGCGATAAACAACGAGCCTCGCGTAAAGGGCTGGAATTTCCGGGAACCCCGTAATGAATGAAATCGCCGCGATCTCTCCACGACGCGGTGAAGTGGGAAGAGTGGGGGAGTGGGGAATCCAGCCGTGGCGACGAGGGCCTCCCGCGAGGCTCACACAAAAACGAAAACGAGGGAAGGACAGCGGGCATCGGTACATTCCAAAACATGAGATGCCTTTACCTGTTCATGACGCGGTCCCCGAAATCCCGACCCTTTCCAAAAAAGGTCGGTGCTTCATCGCGTGACGGTCCTGGGGCTCGGCGATGGCCCCCTGAAGCCGAAAACGGCAAAAAACCTCCCATTGTGTTGTTTTTTCCCCCTAGAGGCATCAGGATGCCAATGTTGAGGATTGCGTACCAGCTTCCTCACAAGGCGTATGCTTGAGGTGATCCAGCTGCGCTGGGGCAAGCACTGCGAGGATTATTCTTCCCAAGCGCTGAGCGGACACTTCCTTAGCTCTTCCTGAAACCTCCCGTCGTCTCTGGGGGAACCACAAGGTACCGATACCGCTACTCCACGGACCTCTCCCGGAGTGCGTTCAGACCAGAATTTTGAAGCGAATCCAACGGTGGCGACGAGGGCCTCTCAGGAGGCCCAACAAGGGGAGAACGAGGGAAGGGTAGCAGTATGGGTACCGTTTTCCTCCTCTGAGTCTCTGTGCGCTAGGCAAGGGCAGCGGAATCGGCCTCGTTTCGCTCCTCCTCTGGGTGGGGGGGGGGGGGGGGGGGCGCCAGGCGGGGCCCGGGGCGGGGCCTCCAGCTGCAGCGCCCCCGTCAGCGAGCCAGCGGCGAGGCTGGCCGCCTCCTTGTCGGGCGGCGGTGCGGTGGGGGCACTGGACGAACGCTGGGCGAAGGCCGCTGCAACCGTGGCTGCTGAAACGGCCCTGCCGGAAGGAGAAGACAACTTCCCGGAATGAGGCGCGGCACGCGAAACAGTCAACGGGCTTCTTCCCGGAAGGACGAAGACAACTTCCCGGAGGTCGATTTTAGAAGCCACGGATTTAGCAGCCCTTGCCCGGCTTCCGAATTGGACAGGGAGCCCTTGGATAAGTAGTCCAGTCGGGCGGTGGCAGAACTGGGTTTAGTGGCCCCTGGCTTAGTGATGTGTACTGGGGGACGCCCCCCCCCCCCGCCCCCTTCCACGAACTGGAATTGACGTCACCCGAAAAAGCACTACCTACGGCAGACCTGGTTTAGTGGTTCTGGCCAATTTAGGGGCTCCAGGGCCCTACTACTAACCGGGTCCTCTCATCTGGGGTCATGGCTATACCCGATCCAGGGTCTGGAGGCCGGTGGAACTTCAATCGAAGCTTGACCACGGAGATCACCGCCGCCCTCATCAGATCAGGAATCCTCCAGGGTCTGCAGCCTCCTGGACGCAATCCTTAACGAACGCCCCAGCCGTAAACACGGGCGGCCGCCGCCCCCGGGGCTGAGGGGGAACGATCCAGTACGCAAACACATGCGACAAGACACTCGATTATATATATTTATATGTATTACATATATATATATCAAAAACTTAATAAGGCAGGATTGAAATCCATTGCATCACGTATGCACAAGCAAGTGGCACATACAAATGCTACACTCGAAGGCTGACGAGTGCCTCGCTGTCACGCCGCAGAGCTGTGCCACGCTGTCACAAGCGCCCCGCTGCCACATACAAGACTAAACATTGCTACAAGAAGTCTGTGGGCACATCGTTCGTCCATCTTTGAGGGTCCTCGACATGCGGCAGGTCTTACGCGGGTCCCTGGTGCGAACCGGGTGAAAGGAATTGTCCCTGGTGCACCTGCAGTCCGATTTCTACTGTGTTATTGGATGTACTCACTGCAAGGAGTCTCTCCCTGGGCCGCGCTCAGACCAACAGTCCGGGGCGAATCCAGCGGTGGCGACGCGGGCCTCCCAGGAGGCCCCCGACGGCCAAAGACGAGGAAAGAGCAGCTGATATTCCGCTGCCTTCCCACACATGCGATTTCTTACATTTTTCACCACGGGGTCCCCAGAACGCCGCCCGAAGCCCTCGTGGCGGCTGCGGCGGCGGCCAGGAGGAGGAGGGAGGAGGAGGAGGAGGAGGAGGAGGACGAGGAGGAGGAGGAGGAGGGACAGCGAAATCATACTATAGTACTGTACCCTTCCCAGAAGGCCGGTTTCCCATCCCGAACTAAATCTCTGGAAGCTCCGGGGCCGGGGGCCCCCAGCGAGGACCCCCCTGGAGGCCGAAACCTTGCCGAAAACCGCCCGCCGCGGTCTTCCTTCGCGACGCGAGCACGCCCGGGATTTGTGGCTCCTCCCCCGACAAAACCCCTCGCCGAAGCCTCCGAGAGCGGATGTGCCCCACGCCGACTTCCCCCCTCCGTGGCCTCGGGGCTCGGCCCCGCGCCGTGCGCCGCCTGGAGCAGCCAGGCGTGCAGGAGGAGGCGCAGCTGGGCGTCCTCGGGGCCCGGCCCCCGCGCCCTCGCCGGCGCCGCGCGCGCGGCGGGAGCGGCCGAGGCGGGGGGGCGGCGAGGGCGAGGGGCCCAGGTCTCCGACCAGGGGCGCGGGCGCACGGGAAGGCGATCCTAGGGAGGACCGAGCTCCAGACACCGGCGCTGTTTTTTTCGGTGTGACGGCCGCGACGCCCTCTCGCGAACCGAAAACGGCCGATTCGCTCATCGACGTGTCAGGGTAGGAGAACTATCCGCCCCCTATCTGTTCCTGCGGCCCCCGCTGCCCGCCCCCGCTTTCTCGCCCCCCCCCCCAGAGACGCGGCGTCCGTGCGGCGTCGCCCGCACCTTTAGGTTGGGCGCCCGAGTTATCCGGGGTAACTCGGGTCCGGGGTAACGCGGGTTTGGATTCCCGAAAACCGAACCCGAGTTAGCCCTGATCCGAGTTACCCCTGATGATTCGGGGCTCTGATTAGGGGGACACCGTGCGGCGGGTCGGTGGGGATCCGGGGCCACCGCACGGCTTCGGGGCTCTCGGGTCCCTCTCCGAGGACGCCTCGGGCACCCGGGGCCTCCGGGGTCCCAAGACCGTGCGGCGACGGACCGTGCGGTGAGGTCTTGGGGGATTTCGAGGTCACCGCACTTGAGCAGGGACCGACCGTCCCGACATTCCTGTAGTCCTACCACGCAATGTTCTTAGAACCCGAAGCTGTTCCAAGAACAGAAACAAATATCCTTCGAACATGAACCCGATGTGTTCAAACCAGACAGACTCCGCCAGAACTGTTCTAAGAACATTTCGTGGGAACCACAAAAGGTTCTTCGACAAGGTCGAAAGAACATTTCGTGGAACATTGTTTGGTAGGGCTATAGGCGAGCCAGGACGCTTCGCCACTGCTTGACGCACGGTCTCTCACCGCACCGTTTCGGGACTCCAGCTCCTGCACGTCCGAGCTCCAGTAGCTGCCGGCGCGCCCTCCCGTGCTCGGCCGCACTCGTGCGCTCATATGGACACTGCGCGGGCCGGACGAGCGCTTGAGGAAGGCCCTGCCAGGGGTGAGGCAGTCAATCCGGGCGCTATCCCTCCTTCTTTCGGCCGCGCTATGAGGCAGAGATGAATGAAGGGGCCCAGGAACACACAAATAAATACACACAAATAACAAGATTCCCCATATACATCTATATATATATATATATATATATATATATGTATATGTATGTGTATTGTCGGGTTTTTTGTCTTCCCCCCCCACTTCCCATGTTTTCCCATATTTTCTGGGAGATCGACGATTCATTGTGTCTGTGTGATTTTTCCCTCCTGAATGAAGCTAGGCAGTGTTTTTCGCCTTCGTTTTGTGTTCGGTTTCCCTAGCTTTGCCTTCACTCCGCCTCTGCTGCGCAACGCCATCGCAGCGCAAACGGCCCACGAACTCGCCCAAACAACGTTTAGGCCCACCCCTGCTATGGGGGGCCAGCGGATCGGTGTCGAGGAGCTGCCCCACCCGGGGGGGGGGGGGGGAAACGGGACCTCGGGGGCCGCTCGGGGCGGCCATGGGCCGCCGCGCTGGGCGCGCGCTGGCCGGCGCGCGGCGGCGGGCGGGAGCGGCTGGCTGGGCCGAGGCTTTCGGATCCGCGGTGCACTGACAGCTGGCGGTTCCGGCCTCGCAGGAGGAGCGCAGTGGCATCTCCAGTCCACAGAGGCAAGGAGACTGCGTGCGGCCCAGAAGGCGCCGAGAAGAGACGTGGCGCAAGCGTGTGGCATCGCACACTGCCCCCGGCCCATGCCTGCCCACCGCCCGCCCGAATCATGCAAGAGCCAACTCAGGGGAAGGGCGATGACCCGGCATGTGCCGAACGAGCACTCGAGAAAGCCAGGCTGGACTCGAATGGAGGGAGAGGGGGAGAGAGAGAGAGAGAGAGAGATGAAGGGCAACGCCAGGGCGGGGGGCGACTCAAAGGGGGGAAAGATCGAGCCGGCATCGGCGACGCATCGCCAGCAGATCGGCGACCGGCCCTCGATGGCGCGAAACCGCACGTTCCCAGGCGGGAAAAGGGGGCTCATTGCCCGATCGGCGATAACTGGGCGATTGGGGGGCGATGGGTTTCCTCTGGGACTGGTCTTCCCTATCGTTCGAGTGAGGGATCGATTACAGAATTGATTTGCCCCAGAATTGATTTCTTGTCGGATCCACGGGCAAGTCGTAGAACTTTCGCAGATCTACGAATGGTTGACGTGTTTTTGTTGAAGAGTCGATGTGACAATCAATTTTGGGGTAAATCAATTCTGTAGTCGATCCCCCAGTCGGATCGTTGCCACCGAGGGAGAGGGGTCTTCGGCGTCAGCTTCTCGATAGCGCAAATCGTTCGATATCGGCCGATTCTGGGACACGGACGGCGTTCAGCACTGAACGCCCACGCTGGAGTCGCTCTGCCTGAAATAATGACTGTTGCCCTGGATCATGTGGTGCCTGCTTTTAGATTGTGCTTGCATCTCGGTGTGGGAGGAATAAAAGGGATAATGATGAGGATGATGACGAGGAGGAGGCGGAGAGTGACCAGAGGAGAAGGAGGAGGAGGAGGAGGTGGATGAGGGTGAAGGGAAGAGCAGGACGAGGAGGCAGCAGGGAAGAGTAGAGATGAGATAGCTCTGGGGCGCCTCGCGACCCTCCCATTAGCGGCAGCGGCAATGGGCGCCTGCGTCCTCCGCCTTGGAGGCGTGGTGGAGCGCCAGCATGCGGGCCAGCGCCAGAAGCTGGCTCGGGGCTGGTGGCGTACCCTACGGCGCGCAGCCTTCACTCAGCTGGCTTTCCCGGCGCCTCCCAGCGCCAAGTCGCCCGATGACGGCTCCAGAGGCCCAAAGCGGTTCCAAATGGCCCCAAAGACGTCCCCCGAAAAAGGATTCCCAAAGGGCCTCTAAGAGGGGGAACTCGCAGGGACCCCAGGAACCCTCCCCTACAAGATGGCCCCGAAAACCCCCAACATGATTCCAAGAGGCTCCCAAAAATGCCCCGGAGGGTCCTCCAAAGCACGCAGGAGTTCCGAAAAGGCCCCAAGAGGTCGCTCCCTAGGCCTCCAAGAAACAAGCCCCCGAGAAGCTCCGCAACAGACGCGGAGGAAGAAGAGTCCGAATCAGCAGCAACTACACGCAGGCAGCGCGACGGGACACAGCGAAAAGCGCATTCGAGATCGCAGGCCGCGCGTCTCCTCTTCTGAGGTCGGCGGAATGCGCGCGCCTCTTGGAAGGAACGCCAGCCGTCTCGATAGGTCGGCCCCGCCAGATGCCGAGTACCTACAAAAGGCCTTCGGCGCAGTGGCTTTGCTCAAGGCGTGCGCTCTCCCGCCTCCCCCGGACCTCTTGTGTTATGCTGGCCCCAGCGTGCTGAAGGGCCACATCCCAGAAATAATTTCGAGCACTCAGATGAAGTATTGAAACGGTGTCGAACGAATATGTCGAACGCCAGGGCCCGACACTTGAAAACCCTCAAGTTTCGGTACTTCCTTGGTGCTCGACATTCTTTCTTGTGATCAAGGCTACACGTAGGTTGGAACATCACAACTCCTGTGCAACACTCAAGGGGGATATGCCCTCCTCGGCGGGCCGCGGTTGCCGCAGGCTCTGAGGCCCGCAGACGCCCGCCCGAGGCAACACACGCGGAGCCAAGACCGGCACCAGGGCGACGGGCCCGTGTCCTGCGTCCAACAAGTGCAGGCGAGCCGTGGACACCGGGGCTTTCCGCGGTATGCCAGCTCTTCCTGTGGAACCGTTGTCCGGTGGTGTGGCCACATGTGAACCCTACCCCCGCCCCCGACGATCTCTCAGGGGTGGGGGAGGTTCACTCCGCTCGGGACCTCCCGAACGAAATCATGAACCCCCACCCCCTGCAGAACTCGTGGGTGGTGGTGGTAGGGGTCCAATGTGGCCACCGAGCGGTGGTCCTGGGCCCCACAGGGGGGCGCGGGGAGCCCAAAAGCTGTGCGAAAACTACAGGGAACGTACGGCTTTCGGGTCACGACTCGGGTCACACGCGGCGGTTCGGGTCAAATCGGGCACCCCCGCAACGCTCCTGGCGAGGCGCAGCTGCTGGAACGCATCCCGAAGTTGGAGGAGCCCTCTGGATGCGACGAAAACGCCCGAACACCTCGACCCTCGAAACCTGACCCGCAAGACCTCTCTCCCCCTCAAGAAGACATGGCGGCAACAAAAACACAGAGCGCCAGAGCAGGTCCTCCTTCGAGCTGGCGAGCGCCAGCGCCCTGCACAGGAGCGTCTCGCAGGGGGCCATCGCCACGGCGCGCCGCGGGGCTGGCGGCGACCCACGGCCCCCCCTGGCTGCGCGCAGGAGAGGCCCTGGGCAAGGGCGATCTCTGCTGCGCGGCCTGGCGATCGTGCGAGGCGGGAATCCATCCATGCCCACCGTTTTTTGTTATGATTATTTTTTATTACTATCATTATTATTTTTAAACATATATATATATATATATATATATATCACTCGTAATGCATGAATGTATGTGAAAATAGCGGGCCTAGACAGGCACAGTATATGTATGGAGGAGCATTGCGCGCCCAGCCTTCGCGCTTGCGATGGCAGCGCTCGGAGAGGCCCAATCCTCAGGGGTGAGGCGGGCCTGTGTATTGTACGTGTGGAACGCAATGATCACGCGTTCAAATGCCAAAAGATGAGACTCGCTTGATACGCCAGTCCGCAGCCCTAGGCGTTCGGACACACATTCAGGGGCGAGGATACGGATGTGCCAGGCCATGCACACAGCGTGCCACATGTGCGAGCAAACAACATAGTGTGGCATGGCATCAATCGCAGATGGGTCATCTAGTCTCGAGCAGCCGAAGACGCACCCCTGCACTCCAGCAGCTCGATGAAGCCTGCGAGATGTGGTCCAGCCCCAGCCCATGATGTGGTCAAGGGCCGATTGGCCCGCAGGAGGAAACGATTTCAAAAAATCCAAGACAGGTTCCCATTCGATCGGGTCCGAGTCAGGCTCAGACCCAGGGGGCCACCAGGACTTCAGACGGGAGAAAAAGGTGGGGACAAGGGAGGAGACATCAAGAAGCGAGGAGAGGAGGTGAGAGTGGATGAAGCGCTGCAGGCGGATGGGAGCCGCAGGCGATCGGTCAGCAGCAGCGCGCTCGGCAGCGCGCCACTCAGAGAGGGCAGAGCGGCAGGCCTTCATCAGCGGGTCGGGGCGAGGCTGGTCCTTGTACCCCGTGGCCGCCCCCCTCAGGTGCAAGGCGAGGGGCGGCTCCTTCCAGTGCTTGGGGGCCAGGTTGGGCAGGTTCCCAAAGTGCTGGAACTCGAGATCATTCTGAATCGCCATCTGCAGCCTGCGCATCCAGAGGTCCCAGTTCATGATCGTCTCTTTGGCACTGCGCATGAGCGTTGCGGCGGCCGAGTACTCCATCGAGGTGACCTTCAGCGCCTTCGACCACTGTCCTATGCTCAGAATGTCCACCAGGCGCCGGGACTGGGGCGGGATGTGCCAGATGCGGTGCAGCAGCCAGGCTTCCTGGCGTCTGAGGTGCGAGGGCCATGGGGCCAGTTGGGCCATGTCGGAGGCCTTCGAGGCAGCCCTCTGGTTGTACATCATGATGCCCGTGCTGGTGGGGGCACACGAGTCCGCTATCGCATGCGCCACTACCTTCCAGCCCTCGACCACCTTCTGCCAGCGCACGTCATTGGATACCGCAGGTCCCAGAAGCACTCCGAGGTACTCTGCCATTGGCACAATCTGCATCTTCTCCCATCGCGGAACCAGCTCCAACAGTTCGGCGTGTACACGGGCCTGCAGCTCTGTGCTGAACTCCTCCGCCAGCGGGGTGATCTTGCACTTCAGCGTCTCGAGGGTGAGTCTCGCCAGCTTCTCCGCCGCAGCAAAGACCTGGCTGAGTGGCTTCAGCATCTGCATCGAGGGGAGGACTGAACCAATATCAACCGCGCACACCCCGATCACTGCTTGCTGGTGGTGACGAGTGCGGTGGAACATGTCCCTGATCAGCGGGTTCATGCCAACGGCCCAGAGAGCGCCCGACCATGGACAGCCCTGAAGGATGCCCGAGCCCAGCCAGCAGAATATGCGCAGCTGGCCGCTCAGGTTGGCCCAGGCAAGCGGGAAGATGTAGATGGCGTCCACCGTGTTGAGGATCGCGGAGGGGAATCCGCCCAGCTGCAAGACAGTGTGGAGGAAGAAGCGGCACATCGAGGGGAACGCATCGCCAAAGTCGAACATCATCATCAATGGGTCCCTTTCCTGGCTACGTGGGGCCATGGCTACGATCCTCGACTGCGCATCCATCATGGCCACATGTTCAATGAAGCGGTGACGCGGGAGAAACCCCTTCTGTGCATGGTGAGCGGTCTTCGCGACAATCGGCGTCATCAGGAAGTTGCCCATGGCAACAACAATATTGCAGTCAGTGTTCTTGAGAGATAGGGGTCGCGTAGCCGTCGCCAACCTTGTCACGGTCTGGCGGTCGTCAGGTCCAGAGCCCTTAGGGGTGAAGATCAGCAGCGACTCGTTGAAGTCCAGCGGTACGGGGAGACCTCTCATGATCTCGTGCGTGACATTGAGGAGGACTTGCGCTGCCATGGGGGTCTTCTTCCAGACCATGTACAAGAGGCCGTCAGGACCAGGAGCTGAGTTGTTCAGATGTCCGATGAGGTGCTTCATTTTGCCAATCGTGGGGATGTCCATGTCGGAACAATCGAACTTCTGGGCGTGCTTCTTCAGGTAGCGGACGACGTGCTGGGTGCGGCTCGACTTCGGCTGGAACGCTGGCGCCCATTGCTTCTGCAGCTCCGCAATCATCTCATCAGGGTTGGGCGTCTTGGAGTTGTCGTGCAGGACTTCAATGGCCTTGAGCTTTAGAACCTTGCCAGAGGGGGCCCACAGCTTGCCACGCCGTGTGATCGCCCTCTGCATCTTGCGAAGTCGCTGACGCTCTCGAGCGGGGGTGCCAGGTGCTTTCTCCTGCGAGTGGATAGCTTCCAGTCGTTCATCTTGGTATTGTTGCTGGAGTTCATCAAACTTCCTGCTAAACTCAAGTGGGTTCTTCAGGGTGGCGTTGGGTACGTCCGAGAGGTCCAAGGAGGTGGCGCCCAGTTCCGTGCATGCAACGAGGGCGCGTGCAGCCGTCACGTCGTCCCTCCACACTGCTCGGGATATCGATCTGCATGTCGTTAAAGCCGCCGCCGTGCACGGAGCACGGGAATTGGTGAGGTCATTGCGAGTGAGACGAGCCGCTTCACGTTGGAGACGTTTGAGTTCTCGGAGTTGCGTGAAAGGAACGTAGGACTGCCAGGGCGGGGATGCCATCAGGATGCCCAGGTAGTGCTCGAAGAGAGGGTGCTCGAAGATGTACTTTGGGATGGGCTGGAGCTGTCCGTTCTCCTCCTGTTGCCGGTGGGCAAAGCGCAGGTGGGCAGGGGCGTGGTCAGAAATGCCTCGGTCATAAAGAACTTCAGGGGCCAGCGGGACATCTGCTCGTGCGCACCACTGCAATAGCATCCATGGCGGGGTGCTGATGTAAATCTTGTCAATCCGCGTGCACTGCTGTGACTGCTCCGTGTAGTGTGTAGGAATTTCAGGGTCCACCTCCGTCATGTTCGTCAGCACCGACTCCCAGGCGAGCTGGTGTTCAGGGTTGTGTCGGCGCAATCGTGGCCGGCCTTTGTTGACCAGTGGCGCCTTCATCTCCAGAGGGGCCTCATCCATGAAGTTGAAGTCACCCATGACGAGGATCGTGATGCGCTCAGGCTGCTGCGAGGCGGTGATCACCTCGGCGCGGATGGAGCGCGTGACCTTGTCAACCTCCTGCGCCGTCAGCCTGAAGTTGTGAACATTGGAAATGACCGCCATGTTCGGGAGTGCGCCTTGGGCCGCCTCAGACTCCGTCATCGTCTTGATGAGCAGGCGCTGTACTCGGCCAGGGACCAGCTCCGTGTGCGTGTGAAGCGCGACTCGTCGTCAGCTATGGATTGTGGAAGGCCAGGAACAATGATGGCCACGCCACCCGTGCCCCGTTCGGGAATGGAAGAGAAGATCGACGCCTCAATGTGCGCGAGGTGAACCGCATGCTGGAGTTCATGATGTGAGCCGCGTGCTTCTTGCAGAGCCAGCAGGGAGGTGGAGCGCAGCGCCTCAGACATGCACTGGAGCTTGCGCCGCCGTTGCATGACATTGTTGCATAGCAGAGCACGCGCATTCCATGTGGTGAACGAAATGCTATGGTGCGAGTGTGAGGCTCTCCATGGTGCCAAAGTGCGGCTAAATCCTCCACTGAACCTCTCTCCCCTCCAAGGTGGTCCTGAGAACTCTTCGAAGCTCTGCTTGATGGCGTCCCTGTTGATGGAGTGAGTAGAGCACCCGTCGTAGTTGAAGAGCAAGCGCGAAGGAGTCTCTCGAATGGCACCGACCACCACCGAGACCACGGGCATGTTGTTGCAGTAGATGGCACCTTGCTGGCGATCTGCACGCCAACGTTTGTCAGGGGCGTGCTCACGACCGAACTGCGCGAGCTTCTTGGATTCGAACTCACACCGTGCCGATTTCGCCGAGCGGTCCAGGCCGAGGTAGAGCCGCGAGGTCTGCCCGTGGACGTTGGCCACCTCCGTCTGGAGCCAGGAGCCGTCCACTTGCTTGAGCTTGGCGTAGAAGGCGCGGACTTTGCGCGCGGCCGCACTGGCCTGACCCGAGAACTGGACCACGAATCGGCGTGCAGGACTCTTCCCTTGGATAGACCATTGATCAGGTTCCAGCTCACATCTGTCCATGATGGGCTGGATGCTCTCCTTGAATTTTTCAGCGGTGAAGTTCTCGGCAGCGGTGCCCACAATGATGCTGGTGTCGGCGTCGCGGTCCCACTCCAGCTGGCCCTCGTAGTCTTTGATGGGGATCTGGGCCTCCTGCATGTGGAGCTGCTTGCGCATGTCCGCGAGCTGCTCTCGAATCTGCTTGTTCGACTCCTCGAGGCGCTGCGCCGAGGTCTGGAGCTCGCCGACGTCGCCCCTGAACTGAGCGTTCTGGGAGGCTTGTTGGGCCACGACCGCCGCCAACGGGCCCTCGAGCTGCTCGCCGAAGTTCGCGATGACCTCTGCCTTGACAGTAGCCAGCTTGGCGTCCAGCTGCTTCGTGAGGAAGTCCTGGGAGGCCGAGATGGCCGCCTGCGCCGCGTCCATGGGGTCCACGACGGCAGCCCCGCGCTCGCCACCACCGTCCGTTGTCCGTGGCCTCTTGGCCCACGGGTCAGCTCCAGGGAGTTGGAGTGGGTCGCCACCACCGTCAACCGTCGTGGAGCCACCAGCAGCCCGAGGCGCAGGAGAGCCAGGAGCAGCGCGAGGAGTGCCGGGAGCAGAGGCCGCCGCACCAGGGAGCATCTCGCAGGTTGAGCAGCCGCTTGCTCCCACGGGGCTGAGTGGGCGGAGCAAGGGCGCGCGCGTGAAAGAGCACTGGGCGCCAGAGGCGCACGAGAGAAGACTTCTTGTCCTTCGACGGGAGCGACGGCGAACAGAAGCCCCGAGGACTCGAGCTGTTGCCCACCCCCCGCCATCTTGAGCCAAAATGGCTACGGATATATATATATATATATATATATATATATATATATATATATATATATAAATATTCAATTAGATGTGTATATATACATACAATGTACATATATAGCTATATATATATAGAAAGCGCGCCAGTGGATGCCCCTGAGTACACGCAAGGGGGGGGTCTCGCAAACCCCCCCCCCCCCCCCCCCCCCCCCCCCCTCGAGATTTTCGACCCCCCCCCTCCCCCCCCCTTGAAAGGAGGGGAGGTCCGGACCCCCCCTCCCTCCCTCACCCCCTTGGCGCTGGAAATGGAAGGGGGGGTTCGACTCCCCCCCCCTCCCCCTCTTTGCGCCGAACAAGGGGCTGGGGAGGGGGCCTCTCGGGTAGTGAGTAGAGAGTAGAGTGTTTTGAATAGCGATTGGTGAGTAGTGGGTATTTGATGGTGAGTAGTGCGCAGTGAGTCGTGAGTGAATAGTGCGTAGTGGTAGTAGTGAGTAACGAGTGGCGATTAGTGAGTCGTGAGTAGTGAGTAGTGACTAGTGGGAAGGCAGTAGTGAGTAAGGATTTGTGAGTAGTGAGTAGTGAGGAGCGAGTAGTGCGTAGTGGGTAGTGCATAGTGCGTAGCACGCAGGGAGTAGGGATGCGGGAGTAGACAGTAGCGAATAGCGAGGAGTGGGTAGTGAGTAGTGTGTAGTGCGCAATGAGCAGAGTATAGGGAGTGGTGAGTAGCGAATAGCGGGTAGGGGGTAACGAGTAAGGAGTAGCGTGTAGTGGGTAGCGAGTAGCGACTAGGGCGTTGTGAGTAGTGAGTAGCGAGGAGGGGATAGTCAGGAGCCAGTAGTGAGTGCGTAGGGTGAAGGGAGTAGCGAGTAGTGCGTAGTAAGTAGTGAGCTGTGAGTAGGGAGTAGTGCGTAGCGAGTAGGGAGTCGCGAGCGGTGCGTAGTGAATAGTGGGTAGTGAGTAGCGAGTAGAAAATAGTGAGTAGTGAGTAGTGAGTCGTGAGTAGTGAGTGAGTAATGAGTAGCGCCTTGCGACAAGTGGCTAGTGAGTAGCGAATAGTGAATAGTGAGTAGCGAGGAGGGCGTCGTGAGTAGTGAGTAATGAGGAGGGAGTAGTCAGAAGCCAGTCGTGAATAGGGAGTAGTGCGTTGCGAGAAGGGAGTAGCGAGTATTGCGTACTGAGTAATGATTTGTGAAGTGTGAGTAGTGCTTAGCGAGTAGGGAGTAGCGAGTAATGCGTAGTGAGTAGAACTTAATGCGAAGTGAGTCGTGAGTAGTGAGTAGTGCGTAGCGACCTGCGACTAGTGACTCGTGAGTAGGGAGTACGGAGTAGTGAGTAGCGAGTAGTGCGTAGAGGGTAGTGAATACGTCGTATTGGGTAGCGAGTAGCGGATATTGATTAGCAAACTGTGGGCAAGTGAGTAGTGAATTGTGGGTTCTCAGTTGTAAGTAATAGATAATGGTTACTGAGTAGTGAGTAGTGCTTAGTGAGTAGCGGGCAGTGAGTAGTGTTAAGTGAGTAGTGAATACTGAATAATGGGTAGTGAGTAGTGACTTGGGAGTACTGTGTAGGGAGTAGGAAATGCTGAGTAATGGATAGTGGGAGCGTAGTGAGTAGTGAGTAGTGGGTAGTGAATAATGCGTATTGGGAAGCGAGTAGGGCGTAGGGAATAGCGAGTAGTGAGCAGAGAGTGCCGTGTGGGTGAATAGGCAGTAGGGGGTAGCGAGTAGTGGATAGTGAGTAGTGAGTTGTGGGCAGTGAGTAGTGAGTAGTGTAGTGTGAGTAGTGAGTACTGGGAAGTGGTTAGTGGGTAGTGAGAAGCGATGTGCGATTAGTGGGTAGTGCGTTGTGTCTAGTGAGGAGTGAAGACTAAGTAGTGGATCGTGAGTAGTGAATAGTTTGTAGCGAGTAGTGAGTAGGGAGTAGTGAGTAGTGCGTCGTGGGTATCGGGTCGCGGGTAATGAGCAGTGAGTCGTGAGTAGTGACTAGCGGCTGGTAAATTAATTGTAGGTAATGAATAATGCGTAATGAGTAGTGAATACGGTTTGGGGCTAAGGTTTGGGTTTGGGGTAAGGGGTTAGGATAAAGGCGAGACGTAGTTTAGGGGTGGTAGGGGTCGGGTTCCGGAGACTGGGGGCGCCGTGGCGAAAGGGGGGGAGGGGGGGGGGTCGAATTTGGCGGCCAGGGGGGGAAGGGGGGGGGGTCGGGACCCCCCCCTCCCCTTCTAAACAGGGGGAAGGGGGGGGGGTCCCGACGACGGACCGGGAACGGGGGAGGGAGGGGTTTCCCCGACGACGGATCGTGAGAGGGGGGGAAGGGGGGGTCCCCGACGACGGATCGGAGAAGGGGGGGGGGCCTCCCCCCCCCTTGGGGCCATCCAGCGGCGCGTCCTCACACACACACACACACATATACATCCTTGGAGATCGTCAGAACAAAAACTCCCGCGCGCAACCGACGCGCGACGGAAGGGACCGAGGGGCCGAAAGAGAGCGAAGGACGGACCCTGGAACCACAGACAACGAGCGGGAACACTTCCAGGGACCCCACGGGGGCGAAACAGGTGACGCGTATTTTTGGCCCCAGGGGGCCAGAGTGCACCAGTAAATACAACTTCAGACGAGGTCCCCGAAGATCGCTGCCCCAGGCGGTGAGTGTGGACAGATCTCCGCCTCAAGAGGCCGTCCCCTCTGCCTGCCGCAGTCGCGGGCTGCTGCGTCGGAGTGCTGCGAGGTTCCGAACACTAATTCGGGGGCGCCAGTCCCATTCGACCCTAGCTGCCCCGCAGTCGCGGGAGGCTTCGACGACTACACCGGCCAGTCTTACACCAAGCTGGGCTGCTCCAGCGTGCAAGGCATCTACGCGTCGGGTTTTGGGCCTCGGACTTGTTTTCGATGCCCATGGCGCAAGTCGAAAGCTGTGGCGCCACTTAAAGGTGAGAGTCACTTTGGCGCCTCCTGTTCCCAGCGGCGTGTTTCGCAGAGCGCAGCGCTGCGTCAACGATTGCTTTGTGCTGGTGCGTCCCCGCGCTCTTGGTGGGTCGCCCCCGCTCTGCTGCTGCCCCCCCATCCGTCCCTGTCGGCCCTCAGCCGCGGAGGCATCACTTCCTGCCCCGGGCGAGCTGCAGCACGGCTGCCCGTCCGTGGCCAGTTCGTCCTCTGAGATCGGGCTGCCCCTTCGATGGCTCCTTCCCTGGTGCTGTAGCCGGCGTGCTGCACTCTGGCTTCTCCCCGCTCGCCTCTGCTTTCCACCTCTCCCGAAGCTTGGGCTTGCGCCCGCCATGTCGCCCCGACGCGCTTCGCTCTCTCTCTCTCTCTATCTCTCTCTCTCTCTCTCTCTTTTTTCTCTCTCTCTCTCTCTCTCTTTCTCTCTTTCCCTCTCTTGAAACAGTCGGTCTTTCACGTTGCGCGCCCCAGGCTCTGCGTCGGCGGTGGACCAACCTCCCTTTAGCAAACCTCCCCTTCGTGAAAACGGCCTAGGACCGACACCGACGGACCTGGAGATGCCTCAACCCACTCTGGCCCGACGCTGTCGAAGAGCTCGAGGCATGAGCGCTGGGCGACAACGCCGACTCCAGCGCGACAGTTGGCAGTCCCGGAGGCCGTCCCAGACTGCGGTCAATCCAGCTGCGCAATGCGACTCCGTCGGCGCGCTGCCACCGCGGACCGGCTGCGCGTCGCCGCGGGGCCGCTTGGCAGGCTGGACGCGCTGCCAGCAGGCTTCGACGCGCGGTGCAGGCTGGGCGCCGCCGCAGGGGCGGCAGCTAGTTGAAGGGGCCCCAGGACACACAAATAAATACACACACAGAAATATGTTCCCAATATTTTCCCATATTGTCTGGGTTGTTGACTTCCCCCCCAGTTCCCATATTTTCCCATATTTTCCTGGGAATCGACGATTAATTGTGTCTGTGTGTTTTCCCTCTCCTGAAACTTGTGCGGCGCGGCATGATGCGGCCGGCCCCCGCCGCGGGAGCTGGCCGGTCTCCGCACGGCGGCGCGGCAAGCGGCGTGCCGCGGTGGCGCGCGGGCGGCCGCCGAGGCCGTCTTCGGGGCGCCGCCGCCCAGCTGGCGGCTGGGCCCCGCGGCGGTGGCTGTCACGGCGCCGCTCTGGCAGGCCGCCGAGGCGCTCCGACATCCCGCCGCTTCCCCGTGCAGACGTGGAGGCACGCCGCGGCGGCCCTCGGCGCGGGCCGCGGGCGCGGGTTCGCACCGACCTCCGCTGCCCTCGAGGAGCTCGGCGGAGCGGCGCGTGGGCGCGGGCGTCCGGCGCTGGGCCGGGGCGCGTGCCGCCCCCGCGGGCTGGCGCCCCGCCGACCGGAGCCCGCTCGGCGCCCGCGCGGCGCTGCTCGGAGCGCGGCCCAATGTCGCGAAGCGCGCTCGCTGGCAGAGAGGCGCGCGGCCTTCCCAGCACGTCGCGGCTGGCGCTGGCGGATGGGCCACGCGGCGGCTGCCGGTCAGCGGCGCGCCGCCCGATGCGGCCGGCGCGCTCCGCGCCGCGATCTCTGGAAGCGCGGTGCCCGAGACGGTGGCCGCGAAGTGGGGCCAGCCAGCGCTGTGCCCCCACTGCCGCGCGGGGCCGAAGGATATGGAGCACCGTTGGCGGCAGTGCCCGTGCTGGGAGCCCGCCCGGGCCGCCGGCCCTGGGACTCGCGAGCGGAAGCCGCGACGAGGTCCGCGCGAGGCTGCCGCCAGAGACCTCCCTCACGGGGGTGCTGCCTCAGGACCCGCGGCTGGCGGCGCTCGCGGAACAAGCCCGGTTGCCGCTGCCGCTGCCTGACCCGCAGAGTCTCCTGGCCGGCGGCAGGAGGCGCGCGCCTGGACGGACGGAGCCCG